CACATATAAACTGACTCATCTGAAACAGGAAAAAAAATGATACTCAAGGTGAAAACAATTGACCATTTCAAACACTTTTTGCCTTCTCTTACTAATTTCACAGCAGTATGATTCAACCAATTTCGCATCCCTATGATTCCAATAAGCGTGTTATTGCAATTTTTACTGAATTGTTTTCAATGAGACTTTTTAGACAAACTTACAAAGAACCGCTGTGCAGCAAGAAAACATTTGGAAAAATGTCAGAGAGCAGTTTTCATACAGTTTTGAAAAAGTACGTCCAAAAGCGCGTTTTTGTTTTTTGCTCCCCATCACAGATGTTAGCTCCTACTGGTCTCTTTACAAAAAGTTGTCGGATCAGTTGGCCAAAAATGAATAAGATGGACATTACGAGGCCGAAATGTTCATTGGATAGGCGCATAGCTTGGTGTGTGTAGGTCAATAGAATCCAGAGACAAGGCGTTAAACATAGTCCAGAAGGTAAGTGGACTCCACTAACAAAACTTCGAGAAAATGCAGCTATGTGTTCCAGGTTTCAATAAATATAAGTTGATTTGCAAATTGGAAGCGAGTATCGCAAATGAAAGCATCTTCAACCAAAAATGAATATTCAGCAAAATCTAAGCGAGCTCTGCCAATGTAAGTGGATTCCGCAAAATTGTAATTAATCATATATTTATTATATATTTATTTTTGGATACCGCAAACATTGATCCGGATTCAAAAATTTGGCTGCTTTAGAGCAGTTTTGAGCTATACAGTATTTTAGCTGAATGTTGGTGGAATCAAAACATCAAAAAATATCAAAGAAAAAATCAATGCTGCGACAAATCGTTTTTGACATGTTTTGACTTATTGCAAAATCATACAATTTTTTTAAAAAACTATCTTTGAACATTCAAATAATTTTTTTTTTCTAAATATATAGATTTTGGTAGTTGAGAAAAAAAGGTTATTTTTGGATTTTTTGGGTGATAAACTCATCCTGGACTACATTATAAACACAAAAAGTCAAATTTGCATGCAAATTTTTTTTTTCGCAAAAATTTATGTTTGAGCAAAAAAGCAAGCTTGCAACCAAAAAATGGATTAAAAATTTTTTACCTCAAGTTTGTGTTTTTGCTTATGAAAAAATGCATATCATACAATTTTCATATATGAAAATTTTATGATAAGCATTTTTTGGACCAAAATTAAAATCATGTTTTTGAGAATCACCACAACTTCTTTTTATAACTATCCGTTTCAAACTAAATAAAAATTATCCAGAAACCTTTTTTAATGATTTGTGAGGATTGAATTTTTTTTATCGCAAAATGTTAATCATACATGAAAATTGTATGATAAGCATTTTTTTATCAAAAAATAAAGGTCACTTTTTTATTGAGCAGAAAAATTCAAAAGATGGAAATGGAACAGAAGTACTTCTCTAAAAACGTTTAATACAGTTTTTAAATTTTGTATGAAAATTGTATGATGAGCATTTTTTCCATAGTCGCCATATATGAAATTGTATGATAAGCATTTTTTCTTTTATAGACGTTAACCCGAGGTCCTTGGCCTTTGTATCGGCACTTTTGCAACTAATATTGATACATTGTTTACGAGAAAAAAAAACAAAGAAGTACATTTGCTCAGGTCCAGTGATTTCTTGTTTTCTGTAACCCATGAAGTGTCTATTTGGAAGCAGAAAACGGCGTCCAACAACAAATTTCTCTGTCCTTCATTACTCATTGAGGATTTCACATCAGTCGTCTTTCTCTCTTTTTCCACATCACGCTCAATCTCCCCCCTTTGTGATATTAGCTCTGTTTCGAAGAAGGCTGCCACAGAACTGATATTTCGCCGTGGCAGCAGGAAGTGAACTCTTTCCCTCCCCCATTCCAATCCCGTCTGCGTGTCTTCAACCACTGCTTCTATAGTCCAGCCTCTCAACTCACTCAAGTCGCTTTTTGGGTTTCTATAGTCAAAGTCATCGTCATCAGCATTGGTTTAGAAAATTAAAGATAAAGCCATACTTAGAAAATATAATCCTTTTTTTATCACATTGGATGCATGATATTGCGATCAAATTAAACAAAATAAACGTGAGAAGTTGAAATATTCAAGTTCGCGCGAGCTGATTAGAACTTGTAGATTGAAAAGCACCTTTGTTAATATGATAGGCTTAATCAACTTTTTTTTAAAATTAACTTAAGATTAGAGAAAAAAAACTAGCCAGATGTTTAAAGCAAAAAATAATAATTTTCAGCCGAGACACTTGATAACTTTTCCTCTTTTGTCCAAAAAGTAAATACTTGATATATTTGAACCTGTGATGTAATGTGATGCGGCGTATGCATATTTGGTTGTGTCCATGTTTCCTTCCTCCTGCTAGATGGTACACTCTGCTCTGTTGGGAAAATTGTACCATCGGAGAGTTGTGTGAAAAACTATTGCCACTGTTTGCACAACTGTCATTTTCAGTCACTAAAAAAAAACAAAATCAAACAAAACCGATCTGATCAGAGTATTTGAAATATTTTTTGCTCAAATTTTTCTAAATATTTTTTTATTTTTCTGCTCAGTTTTTGAAAAAAAATTGAATCACACAGCGCGAATCAAAGATACAATATTAAGTACAACTCATCGTCCAACTGAGAAAACCCTCAAATATTAGCGCGTTCTTCATTCTCAACACTAGAGTTTCAACCCAAAAAAAATCGAATAATTTTAATGGGACTCTACGCATATTGGGCTCAGTTCGGACCAGCAAACATCAAAATATTTAGCTCTTCCATCCGTCAAAATAGTTTTTAGTCATCGTCGATGTTTCTACCAAAGCAGCAAGTGTCGGTGTTGAGCATGTAGCAGCGTGGAGAGGATGCATCGTGATGGTCAAAGTTACTTCCAACACAGCCTCTGTCAGATGCGGATCCACCAGTTCTTCCAAGGAATAGCAAGCTTAACAAATGGATAGCACACCAAACAAACACATATTTATTTTTCATGGACTTATTTAACTCCATCACTACATTCAACTTTTTCTTGGTTGATATGAACTGTTATGAAAGCTTTACAGAAGTCTGAAAAGCAGTTGTGACTACTATATTTTTAGAACTGACAACCGTTGACGTCATTGTATCGTCATAATTTTAAGCGTTTTAAAAATTTTATTACAATTCGTTTAGCGTTAGAGTTCAGTGGTTAAATTAGAACGTGATAAAAAAATTAAAATATGTGATGTCATTAAAATGTGACGAATCCGACTGCGATTACGACTCGATGATTCAAAATGAACATGACAAGCGAAAGCAAATCTATTGAAAGCTAGTGCACCAATTCATGACTGATCATTTTTTGATGAGAGCTGAAGAATAGGACTTCTGTAAAATCGTTGGAGCTCTAACAGTGACTGTTTTGCCCAAATCTAGACGGTGATTAAACTTTAATGCATCCGGAATTATCTCTACTTACAGTAGCTATAAGACTATTGTTTATAGTTATAAAGACTAATTCTACCTAATCAGATGACTTTGTATCCAATCCAGATGATTCTGAGAGCAAGAGCAACATTTTGATTTTGTTAACTATCACCATGTTATATACGACAAAAAACATGAGATTGGTTAAAATATCAATGGTTTAACGGACCTTAATAGAAAAATTGCGACCCGACTTACAGCCATGAAGAACCAAAGACAAGAAAAATTCGGATTATTTTTTGCTGTGTTTGTTGTTTGGAGCATCCAAAGAAGAAGTTTGGCTTCGTTTTGATGCTTCCATGGTCAGATTTACAAATGAAGGTATCATAAGCACAAACAGTTCCGATCGGTGTCATATGGTGCTAATTCAGTTTATGAGAGTTCTCTGTGTTCTAGCCATCCATCAACTGTCGTTTGTGGTGCTAATTAGTTCCTGGCAGGTCCCGGCCTTCGGTGCTGTCTTTCACCTTCGGTTGACCTCTGTAGGCCACGCTGACCGACGCCCAGATTAGAGCTTTGCCGGCGGAAGTGGACGGTAAAAACCGGTTAGAAAGCGAGCAAACCCTGATATCAAACCTGTAGTTGTGTCTTATCAACCCACCTGCCCTATCAACGACTCCTTACCCAAGGAATTTAGACGCGGTTGAATCGGAATGCAAAAAAGAGAGAAATGAGCCGTACGAAACGTTTCAGCTCATCGCTCTGAAACAGCAGATCAACAAAAGTATCGAGCAATTTCACTGAGCTCTAAGCGGGCTCGCCGCCAGATGTAATTTTGGTGCCTTAGAAGAGCGAATTCTAAGAGACGTGTTCATTGTGAATGGGCGCAAAAGGAATTGTGACGGTTACCAAAATGGTTGGGGGTAATGATAGATTACATCGCAAACAAAGGAGATACAGAAGAGAAAAAATAAACAAAAACTGAAAAAATTTAAAATTCTTGTGAGCTCAGGGAAAGGGCTGACCAGCATCCGGTCATAAGCTCAAAACTGAGTTCTTCAAATACTCGTTTATTATTTATCTAACAACCAGTAGTTTTCGCCACTAAAATTTTTTATAATTTATCAACCAACATATAGCAGTTATGTCAGTTATAAGTCTCTGAATTTTGGTCATTAAAGTTTTTCATTTATTGATTGAGGAGTGGCATATGGTGCTAATTTAGTTTATGAGAGATCTAATTTTCAAGCCTACAATCAGCTATGACTTGACTTGTGGTGCTTATTAATTCCTGGCAGGTCCCGGCCTTCGATGCTGTCTGTCACCTTCTGTTGACCTCTGTAAACACTCTTGGATTCAACTGTGTACAATTAAGTTACACTAATTTTCGGAATTTGCTGCATTAAACAAGAAACAAGCGCTCGAAACGAAAAACAAAATCTATCTGCGATGATTCATTGTTTTACACGGGAGTTTGATTTTTGCCTTTTTGGGCAATTCGGGATGGTGAGTTCGCGCTCTATGAATACAAAATAGAACTATAGAATTAAAACAGAAACGAAGTTTACTACAAAAAAGCTTAGAACATTTTTTTTATCGAAATTTCATCTTTTTTTTCCAAAAACTACTTCCGATGGCCTGAGACGTCTGCTTTATTAAGATTTGGCTGCTTGACCCATTTTGCAGCATAGTGACAAAAAATTGTGCTCGACGTGATTTGATTTTAAACAAACAAACTTCAGGGTCTTAAATATCATTAATTTTACCATCTAGATAATAGGAGAAATGTTAAACATGAGGCAAAACAGTCCGGCTCAGAATTGCTTACAATTTCTTTCATTTCAGACTACTGATTGTTCCGACTCTCGTAAAGTAAATAACGGAAAGTTTGTGATCGGGGTGTTTTTTTTTTCATCAGACAAGTTTAGATTTTTTAACTAGCCATTTTTGACCAAATTTTATAATATCATTCAAAAGGTATTGTTGTCCTAAGGTTAAATCTGAAAAAAAGTTTCGTAAAGTTATGGGGGTTTAAAGATTGCAATTTTGGCCGTTTTTGGACGATTAACGCGTGATATATTTCGCGCTATCAACGTGTAAGCGGAGATTTAATCCGTCTTAGAAATTGTTCCAAATTGGTTGAAATAAGCTTATTTGCCATAATTGATTTGTTACTAGCAGCGACATATATCTTTTTTATAAGGCGTGTGGGGGATGATTTTCACAAAAAAAATCATATTTAAAAATGAAAGATTTTATAATTTTTTCATTATATTTATTTTTTTGTTATTACTGCTCCAGAGACCTTAAAATGCAAACGGCACCATCAAGGCTTCGCCCTGATACGAGCAGTCTTGTTTGGTCTTATTTCTGATTGAAAAGACCGCAAAACATGGGCTATACGCTTTGTGTTTAACATATATAATTGATAAACTCAACATCAATTTTTGTTGCAACTTTTCAACTTAATTTTTATACCAAGAAACGTGAAGAGTTTGGGTCCATTTAATTTTGTGCTTTTTATCAAGTAACAGTAGGTAACACAATGAATAATCAGTCAGAGTCGATAGATATACCAAAAGAAGCCCTTTTAGAAAACCCCAGTAGTGAACTTTATTAAAATGAAGAGCTACTATTCACACCAAACCGTTCTCAATGTTTTTGCTGAGGTTTGTTGTTAGTTGAAGCCATTGATAGTTTGTTCTAAGTAATTTTTCTTCGATGAAAAAACAAAAAAAAATGAAAGTTTGAACAAAATTTGTTTCGTTTATATTACAAACTGTGATTCATACTCATTTTAGATACGTGTTAAGTATTAAATGTTTAATCAGAAAAAAATTATATTTCTCAAATGAAAAATTGAACTTATAAACTCCAAGGATAAATTTTTTTTGGCAAGACAATGATGAAAGCAAAACAGGCAGAGGTATGCAGCATAAGGTTTTGTTTCAATAACACGAACCCATCAAATAACAATGTAATTGATTTGTTTAAAATTTCATTTCCAAAACTCAAAACTTCCGCAAAAAAACAACACAGCAAATTGGTTGGCTAGAAATAAAAATTGAAACAAAACTTTTTCTTTCTGGCTCCTAAAAACGTAAGTTTCAAGTCCCCATTGGTCCAAAAAAAATTGCAGTTGAAAATTTTGTTTTATTTTTGAGCTCAATGCATTAAAAACTATAGATGATATAAAAACAATTCTACAAGACATGCCAGGTTAAAAATTCGAAGTTTATCTAGTCAAATATTCTGTCACTTTCATCAAAAAGTGGAACATAACTGCACGTTAAAAATACAAATGATTCACTGTGGCAATTCTTTAGTTGAAGCGCACTTTTTTTATTACTTATTGCGGTTTTCTCAAACATTCTCTGGACAAGGATATTAATAACTGTTGACCAATAATTCTAAATTCTGGCGACAGATTACACCATAGTTTAGTTTAATACAATATGGTATCGTAACGACAGACTGTGCAAAGCTTAGTTGAATCACAATTCTATTTTTAAATAATATTGTAACATGTCCAAAAGGTATTCGCCATTTTTTGTCAAAGCAAATATCGAGTGGTAACGCTAAAAATCCTTCAGTAAAATTTTAAATTATTACATTTTTTGTTGCATTTAAGATACGAGAATGATGATTAATACGAGCATGCGTCAAATCATCTCCCACACACTTTTTTCGAGTGTGTTTGCGGTTTTCGTGGTTAACTTAGTTCAATCAACTGAGCTGGACTGCATGAACCAGTTAGAAAGTTCGAAAGGACGATGCTTCTTGACTCTGAGGAATCAACAACAATGTTGTCACGGTAAGTGGCGACTTCTACTCCTACACAAATTTATAGTTTTTTTGTCATCAAATTGCATTTTAGACAGCGAAATTAGAATAAATCGCGAGTTTTTTGTTAGATGTAACAAAAAATTACAGCAACTTTTCGTCGACATCTTTTCAAGTTAGCCTGGAAATCTTTTAGGGTCCATGGCTCGCGTAATCGACACTGATTTCTTTGCGTCTGACAGCGATTGCAAAAAAAAACAATCCTGAAAAAAATGGATTTACATAGTTGCAGCAGTTTTATTTTCAGGCCAAACAGTTCGTCTATGCGCGTTAGTTGCACGTACTTATTATCGACTGCTTTGTTAGATAAAAAATCATGCTAAAAATCACCAAACTACCTTTGAGTGTCATTATGAATCTCATCATCACACATATGCGTCAAGCTTTATCAGCTTATCATAATTAAATCAAGTCACGTTATTAATCTTCACTGAAACTTTGAAACAATGAACTCAAGCGCATTCAATTGAAAAAATTGTGGAATCCACGCTTTGTTTTAGTTTTCGCGTCTGAAGCATGTCGGGAGGAGCTTTCGACCCCGGACGACGACGCCCCGCCGTTTGTAGGCTTCATTCCCAATTCGCTGGCCTTCGATAGAGACAGAAATCAACTGTGTCTACATGGACTTGACATGTGAGCAAAAAAAAACTTTTGAAGCATCATTAAATAAACCAAAGTGTGGAATTCACGCCAAAAAAATTCAGTATTTTATTTTAAAAAAATTGAATGATCAGTGAATTGTCATTTCTGACTCTACATCATGTTAGCTTAAGTTTGAGGGTCTTAGAAACTAATTTAGCTCACAATAAAAACACCTAATTTTTTGTTCCTACACAATATCCTGTACGATTCCAAAGAACTGCTGGCTCATATCATTTAGTTCTTCAGATGTCAAATGTGAACTTAACTGCTAGTGTGGTGAAAAATGTTAATTTTTAGGAGAACTGGCGAGAAAACCAGCAGCTTGTACGGCTTCCAGATCTACGCGAGGAAATGGCACAAAGATTGGACTAAAGAAGAAGTGACCTCCCTTAACTATATGCTACCAAAAAGCCCCCGGTTTCCTTCAGTGGTCCCCAAGGACCCCAAACTCAACCCCCTAAAGGACATCATCATTTGTTTTGACCTCGGGACAGAGATTAAATCCACGATACCAGGTATGTCGGTATCATTAATCACAGACACACACACCCTCGCCCCACCCCCACTACTTCGTTTTAAATGACGTTTTTTGTTCTTTCTTTCTAATTTCATGCACTTGCGACAGGATCATGATTCAAGATTTATTTTAAGCTATGTTGAAACTGACAACATAGCTAAAAATAAAATTCTAATTGGTTTGATAAAATGAATAACCGAGACTTTCTTTGTTAAAAAACTGAATAACCAAATGGTTCAGTCGATGCTATGACGGCATCAAAATCCAATAATATTTTTAGTTTTACATGGTAAATAAAACAAAATTGTATACAATAGATTGTACACTAATTTTATACAAAAACATCATAAAATGAACATCAAAAATGTATTGCTCACAAGCGACCAGTATTGACCAATTAAAGTTTTTTTTTTAATTATTGACCTCATGTTTTTGACCTCGTATTTAACGAGCAGATTTCTTAACAAATTCATTTTTAATTTCTAATTAAACGCAAAAATAAGTCACGATGTGTCGCAAAAGTTTTTTAAAATCTAGAAAAAAACCTTCCAAATTGCAGATTTGGCTGGTTCATAAGACTTTTGTTTGCACAAAGCGGCCCAAAATCAAAACTTGTACAGTGCTGATTTAAATTATCCGGACAAAACGAACAAAACTTGAATTTTCAAACGTGTTTTTCTCAAATTGGGTTAAGATTAGACAAAAAGTGAAGAGAACAAAAGTTGCTTAGAATTTCACCAGAATTTATATGATGCCATTTTTTCTCCGAAATTCTCAACAAAAAATTTACCCCAAAAATGGGTCATTTTGGCTTTTTTCAATAAATCAAGAATTACGCTGAAACTACTTTGTTAATTGATAAGAAAATTATATCACAGGAAGCTTCTTACGTAGCTCAACAAAGTCTAAGAAGGGTTAAATCTCCAAAAACCAGTATAAGAGAAAAAGTTTTCACTTGATAGTCAATAAATGTGATTTTTACTATATAAAACCCAAAATTATTGCTTAAAAATATATTTTAAACATTTTTGCGCAAATTTTGAAACTGAACCCTTCTTAAACTTTGTTGAGCTGCGTAAGAGGCTTCCTGTGATATAATTTTCTTATCAATTAACAAAGTAGTTTCAGCGTAATTCTTGATTTATTGAAAAAAGCCAAATTGACCCATTTTTGGGGTAATTTTTTTGTTGAGAATTTTGGAGAAAAAATGGCATCATAATAATTCTGGTGAAATTCTAAGCAACTTTTGTTCTCTTCACTTTTTGTCTAATCTTAACCCAATTTGAAAAAAACGTGTTTGAAAATTCAAGTTTTGTTCGTTTTGTCCGGATAATTTAAATCAGAACTGTATAACTTTTAGCTAAACTTAATCAGACAAAATTTGATTGGCTAATATTAGCCAATCAAATTCAAGCAACATGATCAGGCATGTCAATCAATTGTTCCAGCAGAAAAAATATTAGCCTAATTAACTGAAAATTTTTATCTTAGTCAAATAAGAAAAATAATTTCATATTTTTTTTTGTGATAGTATACCCAAAGAAAACAGTTCAGTAAAATGGTTTCAACGCGAAAAAATGTCTCTCGTTTTGGTCATTTCGGCCAATAATTTTATCTGCTTTAAATTGTAATTGAAGTGCCGGACCATGTTGTTTGCATTTAATTGGCTAAAGAACCAATCAGATTGAACCACAGGTTGACTTAAAATCAAGATATAGAAATAATTATTTTGGGCCGGCAATTCTAATAAACAGGTCAGAAAATAAAGAATGTTGCTCATCAGTAAAAAAAAATTGAACTTATTTTATATTTGTTGTAAAAAAAAAGGTAATTTGAACATTTAA